CTCAATGTGAGTACCAAAGCTTCTCCAGGAGAACCAATGGCTCAAACAGCAACATGTAGGAGAACCCACAATGCTTCCACACAACAATGCATTAACGCCTCAATGTCTTAATGCCTCAATACCTTAGCAACCTCCTTCTCCTTCTCCACCTATTTGTCCTGGCAACTTTCCTCAGGTGGAGCATCTTCGCTCAATGGCATACTGAGGTAATCCAGCTGGTGTTTAGTTGATCACCAATTCTTAATCCATAACAATTGTCTGTTTTCACTATTTTCAATTGCATAAAATATCTCCTTTTATCTGGCTTTATTTTAGACATTTTATCATGTCTATTTTCTTTGAGGCTGATTGAATAGCTTTATATTTGTGGGTCTCAGTGTCACCCCATGTTAGAAATTTGGCAATGCATTTCTACTACCTCGCTTCTCTTTCTTTCTGAAATTTCAATAACGAGTAAATTGGTTTGTAGTAATTCAAAATATCTGATATATTTTGTGTTCTTTTATTTTGACTCTTTTTTCTTTTTATAGCTTATGTTGTGTAATTCCTACTTCCTTCATTTCTATGTGAGCTAATTTGCAGACATAGCATGTCTATCAATTTACTTAACTAGATGTCGAACACTGTAAAGTCTTGCATTTTTTAATACAAGAATTTGAGCTGCCTTTTGAAAATAGCTTAGCTTTTTTCTGAAAATTAATGAAATTGTGTACTCATAAATTTGGTTTCTTTCAAGAATTATCATTTGGAATATAAAATGGAATTTACTCTGGAGAAAATTTAGGCATATTAGTGAAATGTAAACATCTGTGATCTCTACAATAAGTCCAGACCATGGTCTAGAATTATCATGATCATCGATTGGCACTTGGACACTTTTCTATCCAAGCAGACACTGGTTACTGTTACCTTTAATCAATATCCCTATCATTTTTGCCTTGTCTTGTAAATTTTCATCATAGTCATGTGATTCAGTATTCTGTAAAGACTCAGCAAAACCTGGGGTATTTTGCTGTTGTTTTATTTTCTTTATTTTGTTTTTTCTAATCAGATTTTATTTTTACACTTTAGTTGTATACAATGATCATACTCATCATAGAAATACTGTGCTTGTACAAGATATAATTTGTTTTGTTTTTTTCCCAATTCTTCTACATTCTCCTCCATCCTTCCTTTCCTCCTTATTTACAAAAGCTTTGCTTTCATTTTTTACTTCTTTACTCGTTTTTTACATTTCCCTCTGGTTCCTCCTCTGTCTTCCCTTGATCCTTTTGCCATTTGGAATTTTTTTTTCCTATTTCACAACACCTATTATACATTTTGGTCCTTATTTACACTTTCAGAGAAACAATGCGGTATTTACACACATGTGTTCAATTTATTTCACTTAAGAGTGTGGTCTCAAGATGCATCCATTTACCTAGAAATGTCTCAAGCTTTTCCTTCTGTATGGTTGAGTAGTAGTCCTTTGTATAAAATAAAAAACACATCTTTTAAAAAAAATTCACCTATTAATAGACATGTGAATTGTTTCCAAAGTTTGACTATCATAAATTCTGCCCGACTAAACATGGATGGACATAGATCACTGTAGTATGATGCTTTTAATTCTTTCGGCAAGATATCAAGAGGAATAGCTGGATCGAATGTAACCTAGGTCCTCCTGGCTTTTGGAGGCATTTCCACACTGATTTCCTCAGTGGTTGCACAAGTCTACCAGCACACAAACAGTAGAAAAGGATTCTTTTTCCTCCTTAGCCTTTGCTAGCATTTTTTTATTGGTTGATCCCTTGTTAATAGCCATTTTTCTGGAGTGAGATGGAATGTCAGCCTTATTTTAATTTACATTTTACAAATGATCAATGATATTCAACGTTTTTCATGTATTTAATTGCCGCTTCTGTTTCTTCATCTGAGAAGTATCTTTCATTCTACCCATTTTTGGATTGGGCCTTTAAATTTGGGTTGTCTGATTTTTTAGTTCTTTATATATTATGGATAATAATGTTTTATCTGAGAAACAGCTAGAAGTTTTTTTTCTGTATTGTAGCTGGACACTTCACTCTGTTGAGAATTTCTATTGCTGTTAAAAAGCTTTTTATTAAGATGAAAGCTCACTGTTGATTGTGATAATTAATTCCTGTGCAATCATGGTTTTATTCGTAATGTCTTTGCCTATACCAATGTCTCCAAGAGTTTTACCCATTTTATCTTCCAACAGATTTAATGTTTTTGTGTTAACCTTACATCTTTCATCCACTTTGATTTTAGTTTAGTGCATATTGAAAAAAATAACTAACTTTTAGTATTTGGCATATGGAAACCACCTTATATATCACCATTTATTAAAGATGATAGATATAGAAATATATCTAGTGAAGATGTTTGGCACCTTTGTCAAAGATAAGGTGGCTGAATGTATTTGGTGTTGTTTCTATGTCTCCTAATCTGCTCTACTGATACTTAGGTCTGTTTTTTGATGTGGGTTGTTTTATTTTGTTTTGTTTTGTTTGCATCTTTTTCCAAGATAAGGTGGCTGAGTATCTGGAGTTGTTTCTGCATCTTCTATTCTGTTTCATTGTTCCTTAGGGACTTTTTTCCTTTTTTTACAGTACCATGCTATTTTGATCACAGTAGCTTTGTAGTATATTTTCAAGTCAGGGATTTTTATGTCTCCTGCTGTAATTTTGTTGCTCAGAATTGCCTTTGCCTTTCTAGGTGTCTCCTGGTTTCAAATGAATTTTAGGATTGTTCTCTCCTATGTATAAGATACACAGTTGGAATTTTGAGCATAATTGTACTAAACCACATAAAATTTTGGAATTTTGACTATTTTCACTACATTGTTCCTTCCAACCCAAGAGCAGGGGATATCTTTCCATTATCTGATACTTCCTTTTTTTTTTCTTTAATTTCCTTTTTCAGGGATATATGTAAGTTTTCAATGTATAGGTCTTTTACTTTCTTTGTTAGACTGAATCCTAGATAATTCACTTTTTGTATGCTATAGTGAGAGGTATTGGTTTCCTAATTTGTCTCTCAGAGAGTTATCTGTGTATATGAAGTATTCAATTTTGAATGTTGACTTTGTACTCAGCTTTGCTACTGAATTGGGTTATTAAATCTAAAATTTTTTTGTAGATTTTTGGGGGTCTCTTATGTAGAGTATCATGGTATATGCAATAATGACATTTTAACTATTTCCTTTTTATTGAGATTTCTTTTATGTTTTTCTCTTGTCTAATTACTCTGGCTAAAGTTTCCAAAATATGAGATATTACATTTATTCATTTGCATATGTTGAACCACATTTATTTCTGTCAAATAAGTCCTACTTGATCATGGTGTATAATCTTCTTGATGATTTTCTGCATTCTATTTGCCAGTATCTCATTGAAGATTTTTGCATTTTTGTTCATGAGAGAGATTGGCCTGTAGTTTCTGAATAGGGTCCTTCTCTGTTTTTGGCATCAGGGCACAGAAATGGATTTGGGAGTATTACTTCTTGTAAATTTCATTAAACAGTTTGAGAAGTAGTGTTAGGTACTCTCTAAATTTCTTGTAGAATATAGCAGTGACTCTATCAATGCCTGGGCTTTCTTTGTTGGTAGGTTTTTAACTACATTTTGAATGTTGTTGACTGATACTGGTTTATTTAGAATTTTTGTATCTTCTTGATTTATCTTGAAATCCATATGTACCTAGAAATACGTACATTTATTCTTCATTTTTCATCTTATAGAATGCAAGTTATTGAAGTATGGAGCCTGGGGATTTAGCTCAGCGGCATAAGCCCCTGCCTTGCAAGCAGGCAGTCGTGAGTTCGATCCCTGGTACCGATAAAAATGAAAAAGATAAAAAAAAAAAAAAGTGAAGTATGTAGTAATCTGGATTTCTACAGGATCCACTGTGATTTCATCCTTTTCATTCCTAATTCCATGGATTTGAGTCTTTTTTTTTTTACCTTCTTTCTTAAGATTAGCTAAAGGTTTGCCAATTTTATATAATCTTTCAAAGAACAAATTTTTTGATTACTGTAATACTTTTTAGCCTTGATTTCATTAATTTCTTCTTTAATCTTTATAATTTCCCCTTGTATGAGCTTTGGCTTTGATCTGCTTGTCTTTTTCTAGAAGCTTAGGCTCAACATTAAGGTGTTTATTTGAGTTTGCTCTGTTTTCTTGATATACTCATATCATTGCTATACATTTCTCTTGTAGGACTGCTTTTGTTTTATCCCATAAGTCCTAGTTTGTTACACTGGCATTATCATTTAATTGTAGAAACTATCTAATTTCTACTTTAATTTCATTTGCAACCCTTTGGTTGTACAGTAGGGTGTTATTTAAATTCCAAACGTTAATGAAATTCTTGTAGTTTCGTTTGCCATTGATTTCCAATTTCATTGCACTATAGTCTGATAATATGCATAAGATAATTTCAGTTCCTTTATATTTACTAAGCATGTTCAACAAGCTAATATGTGGTCTATTCTGGAGAACCCGTGTGTACCTGAGAAGAATGTGTATTCTTATGTTGTGGGGTAGAGGACTGTAAACATTTACTAAATCCATTTAGTCAAAGTTTGTTTCAGTTTTAATATTTCATTGTTGTTTTTTTTTGTCTTGTTGATCTGTTTGTTGGTGACAGTGGGGTACTGAATTGCTCCCATATAATTTTATCAATATTTATTTGATTTTTCAGGTCTCTTAATATTTGTTTTATTTAGCTGGAGGCACTGGTATCTCTTGCATGTGTATTTATGATTGTTATGTTTATTTTGCATATCCCTGACTTTTTTACTTTCTTGGATCATAGTTTTGTCTTATTGTGGTTCATTTTCTACATTTTATTTGATGGTTTCCTTTCATTTGCAATTTTTCTCAATGAGTTTCTTTTTTTATATTTTAAGGAGGATAAAACAGAATGAAACCAATTAAGATAAACTAGTGTAAAAGATACAGGACTTTAAAATGTTACAAAATCAACAATAGTTACCATAATGTCTTTTGATGTCTTCAAAATAGCTGCAGATAACTGTAAAAATCAAACAGAACAGAATAGAGTAGAAACAATTAAAACAAAACAATGAATGCAATAAAGGACTTTAAAACAAGCCTATAGTAAATGCAAATTGCTATAATAATACTGCTATCTTTGAAATAACTGCTCCTGCCATTGGATTTGACATAAACAAAACAAAAGAGAATAAAACCCAACACAACACAACAATGGAAACAATATAGGATTTCAAAACAAGACCATAGGAATCAACAATAACTGCAATCCTCAGAAAGAGACTCCTGCTAGATGTCACATTTGTACCACTATCCTCTGCACCTATGATCAGACCACTGGCCATAAATTTACAGTGTTAGTGAAATTCCAAAGCACCTCAGGCATCCAATTGCTTTTCACCTCCATAGCTATCATCACAGCTTGTGTTTCTCCAGATAGGTCTGTCCCTTAAGGTGGAAAGTAGGGGTTGGTATTTCTGCTTGGGAGTTCATGTGCTGGGAGGGGATGGGGTCTGTCTGTTCCAGTCCAGCGGTGGCACATGCATAGCCCTGGTTCTCAGGTTTGGCTTGCTTGCTTGTGTAGCATTGTTCTATCTACCCTCAGGCCACAATAGCACTGACTCATCAGGAGAGGGTGAGGTGTGCCTGTTCCAGTCTGATGGTGGCCCGTACTTCCCATGGGCTTCTTTATAGTCAAGTTATGTATGGACATTTTATTCTAACATGGTCACAAGTATTAATCCTAGCTTATATATTTTTGGTTAGTAATTTAATCCAGAAAACAATTGCCTCAAAATTCTGTCTTAAATGTAAATATAATTAATAGGAAGATCAAATTTTCAGTTAATTTTTAGTATTATAAGTAATGTAAATTATTGTTTGAAATTATGTCCATGTGCTACAATTTTCTAAATATATTTACTTGAAAATAGAAATTATGTGACATGACATATACTTAATAAAATACAAAGCAAACACATATGAATTATTCAGCACTACTTTCTGAACCTCCCAAATAATGTGAGACTTGTTTAACATTGATTCTTGACATTTACAGTGCCAATATATAATTTTTACATTTCACTGCACTTAAGGCAAATATAAAAGGAAACAGAAAAGTAGTGTCAATGTATGAAACATGTAAAACTATAACTCTCTAAATGTAAGAAAATTCATATTCATGGTTAAAAACAGTTAATAAAAAGCAGTCCTGATCACTCAGGTTCTCACTAATTTAAAATAAGACAAAGATGTCACTAAATGAAAGAACAAAATAAAAGATACTTAATGTGTGTTTTAGTGCAAGTATAAGTAGGGGATTTTTCCTACAAACATCTTATAAAATGGTGCCCAAACTATAGATTCATGTTAACTTTCACATTAGTTCAGACAGAGTAAGAAATACAGAGTGTACCAAATGCAGAAATATTGATGAGTACATATAAAGTTATGTAAATTCATGGAAATTCTTTAGAGAATAATAAAAATGGACCAATAAAAATTTTAAAGAAATTTATTTTCATACTAACAAATCCAAGATATAGATAATATTCTTTGATTATTTATCACACATGATATTCTATTAATTGTAACAAGTTTTGCTTTCCATCTGGGGTCATTTTTGTTATTAGATTTGTTAATTTAGTGTTGGGAGCTGTTGAAATTGGAACTTGAACACAAATAAAGGCCTGCAGCACAGCCAGGGCATGGCTGACCTGAGAACAAAGAAAGGGCAAGGTAAGGTCTCAGCTGAGGATACCTGGTTCCAAACCCAATTAATGCAATAGGGATTGTACCTTGAGGCATTTCACTCCTGTAGTGAATGACAATCTAATTTAACATAAAAATAGTTCTAAATTAACATAATCTGTTACTTGGAAAAGTCCTTGAAGCACTCCCAAAATCCTGCTCAGTTTCCTGTTTTCCATTCTAACGCCTTCCTTGGTTTGAAAAACTAAATAGATAGAAGCTGCCCAGAGACATTCTTTGTCTCAGCCTCCAGAGTCAAGATCTCTACAAGAATTTTGATCCTGCTGGAGCCTTAAAGTCCTATCACTGATCTCATTTATTTTAAGCCTTTGCCATATACTTATTTGGGAGATTGGGGATGTAGGCCACAACCTCAATATTTTAGCACTTGTTTTTGCCATATTTATTGTCATATGTATATGACAATATATTCCTTGACCCCCTCAAATTCTTATGCAATGATCCTAATATTTAGCAACAAAATATATTTGTTCTACCAGTTTTAAGTGAATATGGTACTTACACTATCTGTTTTGATATACACATACAAATTTCACAACACAGTCTTTAATTTGAAACATTTTTATGTAGAATATAAGCATTTTAAGAAAAATAAAAATAATTTTATAAAATTGTATAACTAAGGCTAAAGAAGACTGAGAATGCACTTTAATGTCAAAAGTAATATTAAAGTCAGAAAAAAGCATTCAAGAAAAACCAGTTGGTGTGATAGCTCGAACCCCAGAATAAAATCCAAGGAAGTAAGAAATTAAAATTTAGGGAGCAAAGGCTTTATTTTAGGCCAGGTCTGGTGACACAGCCTCCAGGAGCCAATATGGAGACTGCGTTCCTAACAGCTAAAGGGTTGGGTTTTTAAAGCCGAAAAAAACCACAGGAATGTCGCGAACTTTGACACAGTTTGATAGCATCTGGGCTTCTTGATATCTCCTGTAATTTCCTTGTGGTTAAATGTTTTTTAAGGAACAGCACATTTTATTACAGATAGGCTGAAAGGGGTGGTGGGGATTATAAGAAACTGAAACTAAAACTTTTACGGGAAATGGAGACTTAACCTAAAAAGAATGGGGAGGGATGGGGGATTTACAAGGAGCTGAAAATTAAGTCTTTACTGGAAATGGAATTTCAATCTCTGTTGAAACAGCACATACAGAATAGGAAGGAGGTGCATTGGCTAGAACTAGGCTACAACATTGGCAGATTATGCAAACCTTCCCATTTCTAAACATAAACCTGATATAAATCTGTTTTTTGTAGATAATTTTTTTTTTCTTTTTGGAAACTATAACACATTTTTATTGCCTCTATTTCTATTTTATATTTGTGTTTTATCCATTTTTTCTCTTTCTATTTCCATTCTGGCCTCCTTTTTAATATGAAGATTTTCATCTTCCTCTAGTTTCACATAGATATTCCCTTTTCCTACATTTGAGAGCTTCTAAAATCCCAGCTCTGTTACAGCTACTATGTATTTGTCTAAATAGTTCTCTTTTATCTTTTCTGTCTCTCTTTCTCTTACTTGCTCTCTCTTTTTATTCTTGCAATAGAATATGAAAGGGTTTTGGCCCAGACAAGACACTGTAGCCAGGAAAACCTCAACCGGAAGCAGGAAGCACCATCTCCCTTGCCCCTAGGAAATTACCTGTGATGCCATCTTCCTGCCCCTGGAAATTTACATATGGCACCAAACCTAGGACCAATGGGCTACCTGTGCATCCCTAATGCCCGCCTTAGGTTCCACCCCAAACCGAGACTATTTACAGGCCCCCACGCCACGTGTCTGCCAGAGAGATCGCCGGACGCCAGCGGTGGGGATGCCAGTCATCTCTCTCCGTGTTCTCAGAATAAAGGCCGCTTTTTATTTTATATTTCTCATCTTTTGTTAATATTTTTCATCTTTTGGAAATAACCCTAGCAGAATACTTCTGTGTCAGTTTCCTTGTTATAAGATATTCCTGTATATGTATGCATCCTGCAATTCGTCATTTATCTGTTTAATATTTTAAAAATATATTTTAAAACTTTCAATTTTTTATTATTTACTTACACTTTTACGCTTCTTTGGTGTAGCAAATGCACATATTTATCTTCTTGAGTAAAGACATGCTTTTAAAAATTAGTCATTTTACATCCATTTTAGAATCTTTTAATAACTCATGTCAAATGCCATTGCTGAAAATATCAGCCTTATTGAGAAAAAGTCATAGGCATGTTGTTTGCTTGTACAGGTCATTTTTGGTTTTTGTATAAAACTCATGACCAAATGAAAAGTCATTTCCTGTATTTAAAAGTCCTTAACACCATTGCTAATCACTTCTATATTCTCTGATACACAAAGAAATTCTGTAAGATATGACACCTTTATTTGATGGTGCTTTAGAGAGAAAAGAATAATAGTCAATCCTCAGGAGTCATTGCTGACTATTCCACATCAATATGTTGTATCTATTTTGATGCTGACCTATGGATGTACGCATGAGCTATTATTGCCATTTTGGAAGAGAAAGAAAAACGTGATGATTATTCCAAGCTGTTAACAGGAATTAGAGGTCAATGTAAGCAACCAAAAATGTTCAGTATTTTGCATTTTGCACTTTCAGCTATATATATACATATATATTTGTGTGTGTGTGTTGATGTACATTTAGATTGTTTCTATTTTTTCTCTGTTTTCTTTTAAACTAAATATTCACTTTGCATGAGAGTCATACTTGGGCATATGTCTTATAATATGAATGAGACAATGATGAGGCAATGCTTAACATAATTGGAAAGTGCTTTAGAATAATCCAAGATTACTACAAATTTGCTATTTATTAGGCATTTATTGAGAAAGAATTCTCTTTGTTTTGGGGAAATGATAGAATATTTATAATAATGTCCATCAATAGTGTAACAAATATTACAAAATATATATTCACCAATATTAAAAGCTTTGTTTTCATGAAATATTAAGGGAGAAAAATAGATTAAAATAAAATATGTATGGTTCAATAGTGGTTTTCAAATATAAGTTCCTATAGATAGAAATTTGGAACTGATCTACTAATTTTATTAGCTCATTAGTGAATAAATGGTTTCAATCTTCATAGAAGTAGGATACTAAAATTCATTGATACACAATGCAAAAACAAACCTTTATATGATCACTTGGATTCTTCCAAAATAAGTGATTCTTTCTGAAATGAATGTAGGAAAAAGAGAGCTGCTACAATGGATTTTGTTGGCAGAATAGCCTAATGATTGTTAGGTTAGGTGACCATTCCTGAAGATGTCCTAGAAAAGAAAATATATAGAAAAATTAGAAAGGCATAGGGCTTCTACGAATGCTTTAACAGAATCTTGTATTTCTTATAAGAAATATATACCTAAACTAAAGATATGAAATATGATCATTAAGGTAGCACAATTGTAATGTATTTTAAAATATACTTCAGTCTTTCATTTATTTATTTGAATGGGAATATTACAACACTAACAATAGAGTACTAACATTTGCAAATTCCAGTTAAACTGAGTTTATCTCACAAGCTTTTCCTGCACTCTAGCGCCTTTGTTGGCAGACTTGAAATGAATCTTGCCCAAAGTTTCTTGACTTTATCTTACAAGTTCTCTGCAAGGTTATTCTGACTATTTTAGGAAAAACTGACTCTTGTTTCTCACACATTCATAGTTAGAAAAAGATTCTACAGGAACACAAAGTATCTAATAGAAATCCTGAGCCTGAAGAAGAAAGTATATATATATATATATATATATATATATATATATATATATATATATTGAAGTGAATTTTTAATATGATTTAAGGTAAGGTGATACATTATTCCCACTATATGGGAGCCAAAAAGGCATTTGATCTCACTCCAAGTCCTACTCTAAGCAGGGCTGCTGTTATTTCTGAAGGACTAATGAGGTACAGGAAGAGAAACAATCTGTGCAATTATACAATGTTCTAGGCATTATAAAATTTGTCTCATAATGTAAGTTTTACTGACTCTCATTTTCATGCTCTTTGAACACTTTACAAACCAAGGTGTTATTTTCAGTGCAAAGAGAATTCTACTTTTTTTAATGTTGGAAATTGTGTGTGTGTGTGTGTGTGTGTGTGTGTGTGTGTGTGTGTGTGTGTGTTTTAAATAAGATTGTAGCTACTGCACCGAAATAGTTATATAAACAGTATCTGTAGTCTTCTCCCTGTACATTCCCATCTCTGAGGCATAAGGAAGTTTCTTTTGTAATCTACAATCAGTTAGTCATTTATATTACACAATGGAAAAGGAAAGGTTGTATATACATGTACAAATTTGAAGGAACAGGAAAACCTATTGGAATCTTAGCAACATTCAATTTTCCTATTAATGTCACATCCTTTACACTGTAAGGATCCTTCAGTTTTTAGGAGTCCCTCCCCCATAAACAAACACTACCACATGCATCACAACAGACACTCAGTTTAGAATGGTTTTGCTCATGCTTCAGGATAAAATCTGTTCTCATTTTCTTTTTTTTTTTTTTTTTTTTTTTTTTTTTTTTTTGTCTTTTTTCCTTTTTATTGGTACCAGGGATTGAACTCACGACTGCCTGCTTTCAAGGCAGGCACTTATGCCGCTGAGCTAAATCTCCAGCCCCCTCATTTTCCATGAAATATTTTCTCTTACTGTTTTGATTTGCATCCTATTCTTCTTTAGATCTCAGTGTCACCTTAGATCACCTTTATAATCAATATATTTAATTTGTATATGAAATCCCTTCCCTCCATCTCAGACTGCTTTGGTCCATTATGAAATTTGACTTTCCTATAGAATAGGAAATTTTTTCTATAAATTTATAGAAAGAAGTATACTTATCACTCATTATATTTATCAATGACCAAATCATCTACATTAATCTAGAAAATTTCAATTAAGAATTGAAATTTCTTCTCTTCGTTTTTCCTTAATGTCCCAAATACAGTACAAAAATAAGAATTAACTTAAGATTATATTATGAAAATCATCTTAAATGAGAATTCTCACATTGTTTCCATGTTTATTCATATCATATATAGATAGAAAGCTTTTATGTTGAAAATCTATTGTATCTGCCACTTGAAAGTTGACAAACAATAATATAAAAATATTTACTCTTTTTAGTGTCTAGTTTTAAATATATTAAAAGTATTTACTTTATTTAAAAATTCATCTTTTAGAAAGAAATGTATTCAATACTTACCAGAGGGTTATTTTTTTACATATGTTATCAATCTTGCCTCTTGTAACTATTTTTTTGTCATGGTGGTTGAGTAGTATGTGAACATTTCTTCCTGGAGTATGGAACCCAGAGAAGATGTAGGTAACATGAAAAACTTTTTTAAATTAAAAGACAAGATAAAAAGCACATCTGGTAGACAATGGTAGCCAAAAGCAAGAAAAAGAGAATGATATAATAAAAAGTAAAAACACCACCTGCTCAGGATATCTCCCTTCTTTTCCCCAGTAGTAGTTCTAAAGTACATTAAGTAATTTGACATTAAATTATATAGTATGTATGCTAGACAGATGTGATATCCTGCTGTATGATAAAGTTTCATTAAAAATTCTCTGTATAAAATTTCCTGGTATATAAAAGTTTAGTATATACCTTACAAACAGTAATAAATAAATACCTTAAGTCTCACTGAAATTATGGATATGTACATAATTAACATACTTTTTATAATCATCTGTATTTACAGTTTTATTATTCTATTATTTATATATTTAACTTATAATATCCCATGTAATTATAATATATTTGATGAAATTAGAATTCAGAAAACATTTCCTTAGCATCTTATACAGCATGAGCTGAGTTTCTGACTGAGAACAAATACTGTGTACACTTTCATACAGAGTTTATGGCTGCAATGACTATCTCTGGACACATGAATCATAAGCCACAAAAACAAGAGAACATGTGGTGGATTTGTATACTTTCTCTAGAGAGCTCATTCAAAAGTTTTTCAAACTTAATCATAAATTTGACAGAATTTACTCATACAGTTTTCCTAAGAAATAAAAATTAGAACTTTAGACTGGAAAGGAAAATTGCAGGATAAATTCTGGGTGTATTCATTCAAATATACCAACCTTTATTCCTACAGCACTTTACATTTTGCAAAGCAATCAACATTCATCATCTTAGTCCTCAATCCTACCACATGATTAGGTGGAATTTAGTTCATCTGAAAGAGTAATAAACATGATTGCAGCATTAGATGTTTCCTCAGGCTGAGTTTACATGTGTGTTATGAGAATAATACACGAGTGACTCTTGAAGTGTAAACAAGGACTTGTCATGAAGGAGGATGGTAAAGAATGTACTGAAAAGAGATGCAATTGTTGTAGACAAGAAATATTTAATAAACATGAGCTTAAAGTTCATTTGCTTAGCATTTTGGAAGCCGTGATTTATATCTACAATATATGCACAGCTACTGTGCAAGTGTGGATGGAAACTAGACTGAATATATTAAAAACAAAAAATAGTAGGTCTTTTTGATTAATATGAGAAAGATAAAGCCTGTTAGAATTATTGATACATTTTTATTGTTGATATTTGTCTAATTACAAATGTGATCTAGAAAACAATTATTCTATTTAATTTTTAGCTGTTTCACTTTGACTCCTAGTAATATTTAAAACATTTGAAATTCAATAAAATGTACATATATACTATTTTTAACATATTAAACAGGTTCTTAGTATAATTTTAAAGTACATCTAATTTAAAAAGACCTTCCAGTCTACTTTTTAACCATCATTAAAGAAGCAAGGCACAATATTTCATCTTTCTTCCTTAGTCTAGAGGACAATTTCTCAGAGATGACAATAAAAGACATATGAATGAATTTGTCACCAAGCAAGATAACAGTGTGTTTGAGTTCCTCTAAACAGATATTAAATATTTCAGAAGCCACACAGGTATTGTTCTGTAAATAACATCAAAGCATAAGTTAAGAGTAAATACGTAGATATGAAATAATTGGGAATTAATACAATAAAGTATGCTAATGATGCTGCATTTTACTTTTATAATTGTTATTTTTATTATTTTTGCATTACTGAGGATTGTCCCCATGGATTTTGGAACAAGCTGTGTCCCCAGCCTTTTTAAAATTACTAATATTGGGATGAAAATTTGTTAATTTGCCCAGTCTGGGCTCAAACTTGCCATATTCCTACTTCAACCACTCAGAGTGGCCCAATCATGTGAAATATTGTAATTTTAGTATGGTGGTTTCCTTCAAAAATCCTTCTCCCTCCAAAATTTATTCTAGTACTTCTAATAACAGTGGAGGAAAGAAATAAAAAAAAAAACAGTGAAACACAGAATCAGATAATAGTTCTATCTCTAATGAACAAAGAACAAAATTCCTCACCAAGATAGTGGCAAACAAAATCAAACAAATTATCAAAAAGGTCATACATCATGACGGAGGAGATTTTATTGCACAAATGATCCAACAGACACAAATCAATAAATGCAGAAAATCACATAAACAGAAATAGGCACAAAAATTTCATGATATCAATAGAAGAAAAAAATTTGACATAATTTAGTATACATTCATAATAAAACATCTGAATAAAATGGATATCAAAGGGCTTTATCTCCATCTGATTAAATTTTATGACAAAGCAATGGCAAACACTTGATTTTCTAAAGTGAATAAACTTGATCCATGTAGCTTTACTCAAATGGGTTGCAGACAAATTGCATCCTATTTTGAGAGCCTTTTGTTGTTTTGAAGTAATGCTCCAAGTCTTTTGAAATTTGAGATAGGAGAACATGTACCAGAACATGAGAAGGCCCAAACCATTCCTCTTCAAGAAATTACTGCTAATGTCTAAAAGAAAAAAAAAATCCCAAAATTTATTTGTTGTCCCACGATTCCAGTTTGGCTTTGAATGTAGTTACAGTATCTGCCAATGTGAACACACTTATGAGTCACCCCTCACATGAAAACTTGAGTTTAATAAACAGGTTCATTAGGTCAAAAGAACAAGTGTTCAGAACGATTCTGTATCAGTGAATTACACTACCGATGGAGACTGTTTTGCCAAGATTCATTTCTAGTCTGGCTCTCATAACTCGGAAAACTCCGGCTAGTGATTGTCATGGTTCGATAACTAGTGGTCAACTTAACACCAGCTGGATTATATCAGCATGTATTGAGAGAAGATGCTCCATCTGAGGAGGGTTGCCACGATAAATAGGTGGAGAAAAAGAGAGGTGTGGAGAGGGATGGAGGT